CAAGTTTAATGAGTTCCTCTGGCCCTCCCTCATCTTTCACACCCTTTTAGGAAATTTTCACACCCATCTATTTTCCAGAACACCAGCCCTATGTGTCCTAAAAACGTGTATCAATATTGCAGTTGGATGAATTGTAATAACTTTTGAATTCTTAAACCAATCAACATCAAACCAAGTTTAATGAGTTCCTCTGGCCCTCCCTCATCTTTCACACCCTTTCAGGAAATTTTCACACCCATCTGTTTTCCAGAACACCAGCCCTATGTGTCCTAAAAACGTGTATCAATATTGCAGTTGGATAAATTGTAATAACTTTTTAATTCTTAAACCAATCAACATCAAACCAAGTTTAATGAGTTCCTCTGGCCCTCCCTCATCTTTCACACCCTTTCAGGAAATTTTCACAGTCATCTGTTTTCCAGAACACCAGCCCCACTGTGACAATGTGTGTAGGTAACATTTTGATTTTCTTATGACCTTCCTCTTTTCTTAGATTAACTTAAAAACAACCTCTTTGCACAAAAACAAGGTAAAAAGTATATTTCATGTTACGAATTACAATGAAACACTCTAACAAAATTACACATTTCATTTAACAACAGGATTCTTTTAGTCTTTTACAGACACACACACGCCAGCCAGCCAACGTGGGTAACAGACTCATTGATGGACTTTACCTTCATTCTTAATCACAGCTTATACCTAGATTTTAGCAAGCATGTCCACTGTTTTCTGTTTTCAGTAATGTTAGTATGCCCAGTGGGAGGGGGGCAGGCAGGTGACCTTTGACCCCCAGAGGTGTATTGTTGTCCATACTTGGGAGTGTTTGGTTCCTCTCCTTTCTTGTCTTCAGTCCCATTATGAATTTTATACCAGTGCACCAACGCGAATCGGTCAATCTTACCATCCCTAGTGTGAACTGACAGCTTTTTTTTTTTAAAAGGTTGTGGTACAAACTGGCTCAAAAAGAGTTAAGAACAGGGAGTATCAGCTGGAAGATTTGAAGCAGCGAACAGGGTTTTGCATACTGGTCCAATTATAAGCCAAACAAATTTGAGACAAGGGAGCGTTCGTTCTTCTTCAGGGAGTCAAAGAAAAGCTCTTTCAGCCGATCAGTGTTTAACACCTCATACAGCCTCCTCATCTTCTCCTGGCTGGTACTGGCAGCACGTATGTAACTGTACTTTTCCCCTTCAATGTGCTTATGGAGGTTGTCCAGTATGGGGTCAATCAGTGACACTCTCTGGATGATGGCGTCCCTGTGTTGGGCTACAAACGCCACACCTGAATGATGAGACCATTAGAGAATGAGCTGAAATAAACAGTTGATACAACAAAGCCAATATTAATTTAAAAGCAATCAGTTTGTTAACATGCCAAGATGAAGGACTGGGGTGAGTTGCAGTTTGGAGCTATCACTGAATTTCAAAACAGGAACAAATTGTAAATATGATACAATTATCATATAATTAGCATTGACAGTACGCGTTTTGAGAAAGAAACTAAACATTTCAAAAGTGAGAAAGAAACCCGGACACAGTTCCTATTATCATCTGTTTGGGTTAAAACTGTTAACTTAGGTAAAGCATTTTCTGTACGTTCAGTAAGGTTATGGGATGATTAAATCCATCTTTTGACCTCATGAAAATGTATTTGGATGCAGTGTGAATGTCGTTATGACATCAGAAAAGGTATAACGGGCTGAGCAGGAGAACCTCGAAATGCTACCAAAGCAGGAAGTGACACCAATGCCTGTATTAGAGATGCTGCCAATCAGCAACATCTGTGTGAGTCCAAACAATGACCCAGTTTGGGTTCTTTGTCCCAGTGTTCATGGTAATAAATCCTACCTACCTGNTATTTAGAACATGAATAGTGATCTTCAGCTGAGATGCCACTAAACTTCATACTAATAATTAAATATATATAAAAACATTTTAAACCGTTTAACTGATAGTAATAATCGGTCAAAATTAATTATTTCGGTTAACAGTTAAATGGTCAAAATGAGTATCCCTACTCTGGATACCCAGTGAATCTGACTTCAATATCTCCAGTTTACAGTGTGGAATACCCAGTAATACTGACCTCAGTATCTCCAGTTTACAGTGTGGAATACCCAGTAATACTGACCTCAGTATCTCTAGTTTACAGTGTCAAATTCTTAGTAATAAGTCTGTTCATAAGTTTGTGGGGTATGAGGAAATAGGAGAAGAAGCTGTTCTGTTTATTATGTCACTGCTGAAATGCATTACGGGTTTTCCTGGTGCCCAGTTTCTTTATAGTAAAATGCTTATTTTGCACTCACTTCAGCTTCTCCAGTTTACAGCTGGGATCCTCCAGTACAGCAGAGAGCAGCTTCACTCCTGAGAGTCCTGGATGATTGTTGCTCAGATCCAGCTCTCTCAGGTGTGAGGGGTTTGACCTCAGAGCTGAAGTCAAGGAAGAACAGCCTTCTTCTGTGACTCTACAGCCTGCCAGCCTGCAGAAAGAAAATCAAAATATTGTTTTCTACAGCCTTTGCATATAATTAGCTGTATAAAGTAAGGGAGAGACCAGCAGCAAGGTTCAGCTTTCAGGGGATTAACGGTTATTTATCTAAAAAGATATAATTCTATCATAGTGATCCTACACTACCCACTGAAGCTCACGTTTTAATCCAACATTACTGAAGTCACTGTGAATTTACGGCCATAAATTAGCCTTCTGACTTCAGTATCTCCAGTTTACAGTGTGGAATACCCAGTAATACTAACCTCAGTGTCCCCGGTTTACAATGTGGAATACCCAGTAATACTGACCTCAGTATCCCCAGTTTACAGTGTGAATCCTCCAGTCCAGCAGAGAGCAGCGTCACTCCTGAATCCTGCAGGTCATTGTCACTTAGGTCCAGCTCTCTCAGGGGTGAGGAGTTTGATCTGAGAGCTGAAGCCAGCACCTCACAGCATTTCTCTGTGAGATTACAGCTGTTCAGCCTGAAAAAGGAGCCACATACAGACCAGTATGTATCCTACACATCAGTGATCATAGTGATACAAAATATCCAAACATACTTTTTTCAGCATAATAAGAGGCACAGAATACACTTCAAAGAGAAGTAGTAGCTAAACACAACACATTAAATAATCATAGTTAGAAAAGTGATTAAATGTGGTATATTTTTTATTTTGGCCAATTCTCTGATGGTCATCATGTTCCACCATGAAGAATGCATTGAACATTTTCATTTCAAATCACAAATATCCTGAGAGGTTTTGTGTGCAGAATATTCAGCAACTTGATCAATCTACTCAAATGAGCAGCTGTTGGCACAATATAGGATCTCCTGTGAGTTTTGGCCATTTTTTGCATTCAGATAATCATTGACAGTGGGTAAGTCTATCATAGGTTAATAGCCTGTAGTTTTATTCAAACTGTACATTTTTCATAAGCCATACAGACCATATTCCTCCCCCTCAGGCAGGAGGCTGAGGAGCATCGAGAGTAGGACCACCAGACTGTAACAGCTTCTTTCGAGATGCTGTAAGACTGTTGAACTCTGCCCCCCCCCAGCCCCCGCAAAGATCCCCCCCCATCTCCTACACAAAAAGGACTAATAGACAATAACCCTCCAGCAGACCAAAGTGACATATAACATGTGCAATACACTCATATGTGCAATGTTCCCCATTACATAGTAACTAAATTATTATCACCACCAACCAAAGTGATATTTAACACGTGCTATAAGCCCATATGTGCATTGCTCATTATAACATAGTAACTAAGTTATCACTATTATATAGTAAATTACCGGGATCCGTTTTATGTTGCGTCCATGTCTGCTTCTGCATATTGGACACTGTACATACCGCTAATTTATACTCCATACTTTATACTCCAATACCTTCATATTTAAGTTTAATTTTTATATTTAAAAGTGTGTGTGACTACCTCTGTGGCTTATCCGTGACCTGAGTACTTAATTTTGTTCCATGGCATGTGCGAACATATGTGGAATGTCAATAAAGTTCTTGAAATCTTGAATTCCCAATAATGCTCTGTATGTGTTATATTACATTATCTCACAGAGCCAGTTTGAATGAGGGCATGAATGTGAATATGCTCTAAAATCCATTTAGTCACAGGTTCATTAAAATATATCAGATATTTTGTTGTTTCAATGTCCTTGAAGCCAACTTCAACTTACTTTTTAATGGACCACTGTTTAATGTGTGTGTGTGTTTATGTGGGATTTGAATGATGTCCAGAGGAATTGATGTTTTTTAAATAATAATAATTATCAATACTTTATTGTTCCCCATGGGGAAATCGTTTTTATGCCTCCCTCAACTTGCTCTATGTGGGTGCCCAGGCAGCTGGGGGTTAAGGGCCTTGCTCAAAGACCTACAGCCGTCCTGAGGCTGGGTTTCAGCTGGTGACCTTGTGATTAGAGGCACACAGGCTTAGCCCACAGAGCCACATGCCGCCCTTAAAAACAGAGAAGGTGGGATTCGAACACAGGACAAAAGTGTTGACAGGCAGCTGGCTGCTCAATGTGTTGAGACATGTAGCCAACAATGACAATGACACCCAAATGCCTGATCCTGTGAGTGAAATCCTTTTTTCTGTATTGCTCTACCTGGGAACTCATCAATTCCCTAATTGTAGGACCAAAATCCTTTCAAATATGCTTTTAAAAGGAACATTCATTTAAAAAAATATTTATGAACAGTGATACTTAATTCATCCCCGTGGGGAAATTGTCGTTTCACCCATCCAATTCTGCTCCATGAGACACACAGACACACACAGGTGAGGGGAAGTTTGAGGTCACAGCGCAGGGTCGGCCAGCATCCAGCACCCCTACAGTGATTGACATTAAGGGATTTGCTCAAGGGCCCAGAGATGACATCACTCTGTTGGCCAGGAGATCTGAACCAGCGGCCTTCCACTCACGGGCACCTGAAATTCTGGCTCTTGGCTGTTTGTCACACAAAGGACGGTTATGGAAAACCTGTCACTTTACTACATCACTAACTTCAGTCAATATAAAATCTGGCTTCCAGACTGTCACGGTGAAAAAAAATCCAGCCTTGTGATTAATCCACAGGGGAAATAAATGTTACATTTTCATTATATACTTTAAACAATGTTAATATATAACGGCCCAACTGGAGGTGTTGTTTTTGGTGGGAAAGCTCATAGAGTTTCTTTGTACATGTACTGTGACAATAAAGATATTCTGTTCTATTCTCTCCTCAGCCAGGAGCAGCTAAGGCCAGCAGAGGGCGACAGTGAGCATCCAGAGAGAGCAGTCATACAGAAGCTCACATGTGTCACATACCACTTATACACCCTGTGGATAAAGAGCCCTCACTGTTTCTATAGCAGTTTAGGATGCTGTGCCTGTGATCAGAAGGCAGACTGGATGGGAATGGAAACGTCACTTTTTTGTTTGTAACTACATCACTGCCTTCAGTCATTATAAAGTCTGTGGTCCAGATTAGCTACTGCTATAGAAACAGCTATAGTCGAGATTATCAAAATAATAATATTCATCAGACATTTCAAACAATATTTATGTATTACTATCAGACCAGACATGATTTCCCATCCCCATGTCACTTACAGAGCCATCCTGGAGTTCTTGACCACAGGCAACAGCCTCCAGTGCTCTTTATCTGATCTGGTAAATTTCTTCAGATCAAACACATCCAGCTCTTCATCTGACATCAGCATCACAAAGGCCAGAGCTGAACACTGTGCAGCTGAGAGGTCTTCTGCTGAAAGGCTTCCTGAATTCAGGTATCTTTGGGCTTCCTCTACTAGAGAATTGTCACCCAGTTCATTCAGACAGTGGAACAGGTTGATGGTCCTTTCTGGAGATAAATTATCCTCTATTTTCTCCCTGATGTATTTGGCTGTTTCCCTAATGTTATGTGAGCTGGTTCCTGTCTGTCCCAGTAGGCTTTGTAACAGAGTCTTACTGGAGTCTGTTGAGAGGCCCAGGAGGAAGCGGAGGTAGAGGTCCAAGTGTCCATTCTTGCTCTTTAATGCCTGATCCACTGCAGTCTCCAGCAGGTCAGCTGATGAGTTTGATAGAAACACATATAAAGCAGCGAGATACTCCTGGATGCTCAGATGCACAAAGCAGTACACCTTCTCCTGATACAACCCATATTCCTCCTTAAAAACTTCTGTGCACACTCCAGAGTAAACTGAAGCTTCAGTGACATCAATGTCATTCTCTGTCAGATCTTGCTCATAAAATATGAGATTGCCTTTCTCAAGGTTGTCAAAAGCCAGTT